TTTGATCTGCTGCCCTCTGGCAGACGGTACAGAAGCCTGCAGACCAGGACCACCCGACATAGGAACAGTTTCTTTCCCCTCGCCATCTCCCTCCTAAACAGTTGACCTGTCACACTGCTCCCACTGCCATTTGATTTGATTTGATTTGATTTGATTTGATTTACTGCAGACTTACAGGAGCTGGACTCAGTTTGCATATTTTGTACTTTCAGTCACCTTAACATAAACGTGTGTGTGTCAGCAATATTCTGGTGACCAGTGCCCGTTGATTTCATTAATGTGCATAACTCCAGCATCCTCTGGTTGGCTGCTGCAGAAGTGAATGTTGTACTTTGACCTTTAACCCTCAAAGTACAACACTCTCTGCTCTGTGTTGTTTCCTCTTTCAAACCAGAAAAACATTACAGCTGAGTCTGGACAGGATGTCGATATATCATATACCATACCATATCGAGCTCCAAACTAAAACATCATACCTGTGGAGTTGACCAGAGCTGACCTGGAAGATCTATATTTCCTTGTTTATGGAATGAGCAATTTCATCCAGACAACCAGCATCCATCTTTTAGGAATTGGGGGGTCTGCAGGACAGACAGATGAAGGATGGAGGCATGTCTTTGATTCTGAGCTAGTGATGCTCGATACAGTTCCAGTGTGTCCAGAGGATGATACGCAGCACCAGCTAAAGCCAGTGCAGCCAAGTCAAAGTATAGTGTGGCTCCAGCTGCTCAGCATGTCTCGTTCTCTCTGAAACACCTCCTATAAATTTAAAACTCTGCTCCTACCTTCACTTAAAGATTATGCAAAGCTCAGGTGAGTTATGCTTGCATCTTGAATTAAACATTTTTATGTCCCCCATCACTTTGTGCATTTGAGTTTTGTTTGAGTCTTGAGGTACCGTTGGCCTTTCATTTTTATTTATAAATGCTTTCTTAGGTATAGATGGTCCTCACTTTAAATGGGGTTGTAGCAGATACAACAACAGACCTGACCACATGTTCGCACTTTACACACACTTTATTCATGGTTGTCGTGATTTACAGACATGGCTGCAACTTTCAAGCTCGCAGCCATGTCTGAAACGACACATGAACCAGTGTAAATGCAGCTTTGTCCACTGTCACAAGTTCTCTGAGTTTCGAGGGTGTTGGGAAGTTGTTTCCAACTAATAGGTTAAAACAAGAACATTTCAAAAACCCTTTCCTGTGTGTTGGCGACAGTGGGAAGGAAAAACTCCCTTTTAACGGGAAGAAACCTCCGGCAGAACCAGGCTCAGGGAGGGGCGGTCTGCTGTGATTGTCTGGTGAGAGAAGGAAGACAGGATAAAGACATGCTGTGGAAGAGAGACAGAGATTAATAACAGATATGATTCAATGCAGAGAGGTCTATTAATACATAGTGAGTGAGAAAGGTGACTGGAAAGGAAAACCTCAATGCATCATGGGAATCCCCCGGCAGCCTACGTCTATTGCAGCATAACTAAGGGAGGATTCAGGGTCACCTGGTCCAGCCCTAACTATATGCTTTAGCAAAAAGGAAAGTTTTAAGCCTAATCTTAAAAGTAGAGATAGTGTCTGTCTCCCGAATCCAAACTGGAAGCTGGTTCCACAGAAGAGGGGCCTGAAAACTGAAGGCTCTCCCTCCCATTCTACTTTTAAATACTCTAGGAACAACAAGTAGGCCTGCAGAGTAGGAGCGAAGTGCTCTAATAGGGTGACAAGGTTATATGTCCAGCATCATATTTAGTAGATCATGTCTACAGTGACTGTAGGAATGGAGGCCACTGTTGGAATGGAGCAGACAGCAAACATGCTACCTCTACTTGATCGTAAAACCAGCTACAGATATACTTTGTTAAGTTTTATGTTATGTCTACTCATAGGTAAGCACTAGTTCCCTTGCCTGTCCTGATAAAGCTCTGCTATCCCTGCTCTATTCTTATGTGTAAATGACCTCATTAATCTTTTGTAAAGTGTTTTGTAAACTTATGAGTGGCTATTATATTGTTGGAGCTTGGACCCAGCGGATGCTTTTATTTTGAAGGTCACAGAGCGACAAGGTGCCGGTTGTTGTGCCAAAAAGTGATTGTCTGCCAAAAAGTGATTTCCGGTATTTGCCAAAAACTGATTGCTCGTATTTAAACTGCTATAAGTAACTTGTTGGGCTATAATATGTGAAACATATGTCAAATGCATCCCTCATGGATGACACAAAGTCATATTGAGCTACAAACAACATTCGTATAACAAGGTAGAAGCCGCAATCAGTTTTTGGCAGCGACTTTTATAGAACCTTTATTTATGCAGTTAAAAAAATCTCATTAACTTTAAAAATGTCTTTTGTAAGAGTAAGTTGGCCAGGAGGACAGCAGAAATGGCAGCAAATATTACAATAGTTCTGTAAAAATATTTTAAGTGGGGATAAAGGACCGGATTGGTTATAATGTGAGTACAATAACACAGAGTTATAAAGATACTTGAAAAAAACAGATAATCTTTTAATTGTATATATAACCCCTTCGTAAACGCTGTTCACCGAAGTCTATTTACCAACATACGTAAAGATATTACACATAAAAAGTACAAGGAAACATCGGAAATCAGTTTTTGGCAGGCAATCACTTTTTGGCACAACACCGTAACCATATAGCAGAAGCGCGGGTTTTAATGCACAGAGAGAAGGTGTGCTCTATGGTTAATGGACGGGAATGGGGAAAAAGAACGGCTATAAAGGTGCAATCCTGAGTTGAAAGCAGTTCCTTACTACCTGGTTGATGAGGGAACAAGGTTTGTAACAAGGTTTGTAACAAGGTTTGTCCTGTGGATATGTACTTTGTTGTTTTACGGAGCATATAGCTGCTGACCGCTATAGGATAAAGGCTAAGTTTTCACCCACTAGAGGGTGCTAACGTACCTCGTCAGGTTTAGGCAGTGATGCAACGATTTCACTGTTATATGCAAATTTGTTTCACTGTTATATGTTATGTAAGTTAAAGATAATTACTTTGTGATTAATGAATAACTCAAAAGGTTAAAGGTAACACACTGTTTGATTTACTAATAGTCTTTTATTCTGTATGTTGTAGCTCTTACGGTGTGTTCACATACACGGCTGTTTAATAAAAGGATTGTGAACCATCAGTTTGAGAGACCATCTTTTCAACCGGGGATGCTACATTATGGACACTAGATGATTAACAGTTCACCGGTCCTCCGTAGTTATTCTATTATTCACTTTGTTCCCATAGTTCAGGTTTAAGGAATGTTCTTTCTGTTTTAATAAAATAATAATAATGCATTCATCACATTTCAAATATATCACTTTAATGTCATAAAATACTTTATAGGTACCGGTATGTAACAACTATGATAATCAATAACACTAATTAATAACCACTCTGTCAGTCTCCATATATCTAGTTCCTTGTACTTCTTGTTTTTCATGTGCTTGTATAAATTAGCGGTGCTGTCACAGTAGGCACTTCCTTTCACACAGCCGCCACAATGCAAATTGTTTTTATTTGCTGCTGCCTCTAAATAGCGGCACATGGTTTTCCCTCCCTCTCTCTCTGTAACCTGAGTGCACTGCCAGAGCAACGTAACAACGTAACAAAAACAGAGCAGAGAACAAGAGGAGGAGCACGTGTACGTGAGTGACGTGAGTAGTGTTTACTCAAACAGGAAGTGCCTGTCTAACCCTGTCTCAGGCGACTCCAGCTACGGCGCCTTCAGACGTCCCTCCTAAACAGTCGAAAGAGCTTGAGAGACGGACTTTAAGAAGTTGCTCTTTTATTTAAAAACTAAAAAAGAAAACTAGTCCGATTAATTCAATAAACGTGGGACGTTATTAGACAACACCAGCTTCGGCATTCCAACCATTCGGATCAGCAGAATTCGAGAACCCGGAAATGTTATTTTTAACTGCGTCACAGTGTATAACGCTTTTAGGCATCTTTGTGTTTGTCTCTGCAGGTGAGATTTCTCTCGTTCTCTGTGTCAACTGAATTGACACAGAGCTTTGCATAAAGATGTCGATTTTTTTTCATAATTTAATAGTCATTAATTTGTTGGTGTTTTGTCTTCTGTCAACTTGACAGCGTCTAAACGTGTCTCTAATACTACTAACATGTTATGTGTTCAGTTTAGCACCGAACTAACTGATTTTAAATGATTTGTTGGTGCACTAAAATCCTTACTACAACTACTATATTTTTGAATGAGAGTGCGCGCGCATCATCGCAACAATCCCGTTCATCATTTTTCCGAGAGCCTGGCTGTCTGTGAACCAAAAGACGCGGAACAAAGCCAGAGAGGAAACGATGATCACTGAAAAGGTATAGTAAAATTGTCTTTATTTCCTTCAATTTACTTACTTCAGATATTTTTTCATGCGGAAGTGGGGTTAGCATGTGGGTGGAGGGGGAGCAGGAGCAGGGTCCTCTAAGATAATAATGCATAACATACAACCTATATGTACGATCAGTGGCACTGTGTTTTATTTGTTCAAGCGTATTATTATTAATGCGACGTTTAGCTCCTGGCAGTGCTGATTGGTTGATAATACTTTATTCATCCCGAGGGAAAAGCAGGGGTGGGGCAACTCCAGGCCTCAAGTATCGGTGTCCTGTAGGTGTTAGATGTGTTCTTAATCCAACACAGCCGATTCAAATGGCTAAATTACCTCCTCAACATGTCTTGAGGTTCCCCGGAGGCCTGGTAATGAACTCGTTTTATTCAGGTGTGTTGAACCAGGGTGATATTGCAAAACTTCCGGATACCGGACCTTGAGGCCTAGAGTTCCTCATCCGTGATCTAGAACTATGCAGCCGGGTCGTCCGTAGTAGTGATGGCCCGCTTGAAGCTGACACTGCAGTGCGTGTGCCAAAAAACACAACACACTGCTTCAGAGAAGTAGGTGAAGGTGTCGACTTGAGGCTTTATTAGTTTGGCCAGAGTCACGTGATCTGTGACGTGATCATTTAGAACGTAACTGATTTAGTGATTTATGAGGAAGTGAATCATTCACGGGACATGTACAGTGTTTTAAAGGTAAGAGATGGCAAACTACTGATCACTCTGAGAAATATGAAGTCAGCGAGGAAGAGAGGAGAATATGTCATATGTGGTAGTATTTTGAGTAGATTTTGGTCAATTGGGTGTGTTTGCCAGCTTTGTGTTCTTGTTATTTGCTTGTGTTTTGTGTTTATTTTATCTTAAAATGTGAAAATGTGTGGGATAGCTCAGTAGGTGGATTGGTGACCCCAAGATCGGGAGGTTAGATTCCCCTGAACAGCTACCCTGAGGTACCCCCGAGCGCCCAATAGCTTCCCTCTGCTTCACTAAGTGAGAGTGAATTAAGTGAAGCAAGTTCACTTAGTGAATTATTATTATGATTATTATTATTATTAATAATAATCATAATAATAATAATAAACGGGTTACCTTAAATCCATAATGTTTTTACTTTGCAAGCTCATAACGATCATTATTAACAAGTTCACAATAAATTCTACCCTCAGGTCTAAAATGTGTATAAGAAAATTAGCTTGATATAATATTATTAATAAACATAGCTGTCCAGTGACTAATGTTACAAGTACATGGAAGCAGGGCCTCATAGCAGAAGCCTACTCCATAATGTGTTTTACATTATTATATGTATTTTCCAT